AGAGTTCTAATATTAATATTTACTAAATATATTTCATTTCTTTAATGAATATTTAATCTTTCAAATAAGAACTTTAAAAAACATACAGCTGATTTTACTTTTTTTCCTCCACTATTTCAAAAGCCTCTATAATTTTGTAGCCTTTATCAATAAGTGATGAAGATAAAACAGTCTTCATTTACAAGATGGAAACCCTGGAAGCCTGAACTGATTCTTCAATGTGGCTGTGGCCATCTACTGGTTCCTTAAGGTTGTTGCAATAGGTGGCTGTGGAATTTCAAGTAGTCCAGCAGTCATTCTCATTCTGGCTGTATAGTGAGTCACCAGAGGAACTTGGTGGGCCGGGGGGGTTGCTCAGGCTTCTCCTTCAGAAACACTAATTGTTTTGGGGTAGGCCATAAGAAGATTAGGTACTTTTTATAAGGCTTTCCTCTTTGACTGAGGTAATTCTAATGTGCAGCCAGTTTTATGAACTACTTGTGCTAGTTCAACGGCTGCCTCACTGTAGCATTTAAAAAGCAAAATTGAATTTAATGGTACCAGATGGTATTTGTTTATATTTGAGTTGTGGGCTGAAGCTATTCATCCCAGCTTCAAGTGGCTACCTATGTGCACTTTCCAGTACTACCCAGCCTGCCAGAGTTTATTTCTATAGACATATGGGCCACATAGATAGTCCTCATAAATAATTACTGATTACGGTAAAGAAGAATTTACTTTGTGGCCGATAAGTCATAAAAAGATGAAATGGAGTTGTTGAAGTTCAGTTATGTGTAAAGAAGGAGCACCAGCGAATGACTGCATTTATATAGTATACCAGTTTTGAGTTATACTACAAAAGAAGATATTTATGTGGTCATTACATGATGTAATTACAGGAGGTAATTAAACAGATCTGTTTTCTGCATGTGACTAATATATTTGACTGATCCGAGTAGTCATTTACTTCAGTTTCTCTTTGGGTAATCTTCATAGACTATTGCTCTCCTAACTTCAGTTTTTCTTTTTGAAAAGACTGAACTTTATTGTTACTAGATTCTATTCACTTTTTAAAATTTAGATTTTGATCTAGTTAAAAGGTAAATTATAGTATTAATTTTTTACCACATAAGCCAGGATGGTCAATTTAATTTAAAACTAGACATATTGGAGCATTATTACATGTTTTTAGTATAATAAAGTATCTGATGATTTATAATTTTTAAAAAGCCACTGTAAATTAAATCAGAGCAGTACATTTCAGTTTACAGAATTTTAAAGTTACATTTGAACTAGTATATAGAGTCAGACCATTATAAGATCATTGTATGGAATAAAAGACTTTTCAGAACTAAAATGATTAGTAGTTTTATGGTGGCTCTTAAAACTAAAATATATCCAAAACTATACTCTAAATCTCTGTTCCAGGTAGCTAACACTTCTGACATTTTCTAAGTACAGTGCTTTTGCTCGCTTGCTTCTGAGATTTTATTTACATTGCTTACTATAACAGGTAGCCTGTTACCTCCTTGATGCTAACCCTTAGTTTATTTAGCATCCGCTATTTTAGAAAATGTTTCCTTGGTTAATTGAGTGTCGTCAACCACATCTTGCCATCCCACAATACAACTTATATAAGATATACGTGCGCTATATTGTTCACATTAGTTGTTATATTATTGTGTTAGTTTCCTGAGGCTACCATAATAAATTGCCAGAATTGTGTGGCTAAACACAACAGAAATTTATTCTCTCATAGTTCTGGAGGCCAAAGTTCTGAAATCAAGGTATCCGCAGGGCCATGCTTCCCCTGAAAGCCCCAGGGGAGAATCCTGCCTTGCCTTTTCCAGCTTCTGGTAGTCACTAGCAATCTTTGGTGATCCTTGGTTTAGTCTCATTACTTCAATCTTTGCCTCCGTCTTCACATGGAATTCTCTTTGTATGTCTTTCTGTGTCTTCACATGGCATTCCTAGAGGGTGCCAGTCATTGAATTTAGGGCTCACACTAATTCATTATGACTTCATGTTAAGAAATTACATACGTAGAACTCTATAGCCAAATAGGGTCACATTCTGAGGTTCCAGGAAGACAGGAATCTTTGGGAAACATTATTCAACCTTGTACAGTCATGGTAAGAATATGTAAAGGTTTTCACCTTTTTTTCCTGTTCTCTTTATCCAGTAGATTGTAAAGACTTCCTAATACAGCAATAAATTAAGGTTTTGCGAGGAGCTTTTTAAAATAGCTATATTTTTGCCCTGGCTGGGTAGTTCAGTTGGTTAGAACATCGTCCTGATATTCCAAGGTTGCAGGTTCAATCCCCAGTCAGGGCATATATAGGAATCACCCAATGGATGCATAAATAAGTGGTACAACAAATCAACATTTCTCTCTCTCTCTCTCTCTCTCTCTCTCTCAAATCAATTAAATAGCTCTATTTTTATATTATTATACATTAAAATGTTGTTACTTTTCTAATATGGTATAAAATTATAATGATATCTGGTACATTGTCCAGGTATTAGGGGTAAGAGAAATGTTATAATTTGGATTTTTGCTGTCTTTTAAAAGGGCCTTTCTCTCTCTTTTTTTTAAGGACTGCGGTATTCAAGAAAAAATAGATTTAGAAATTCGAATGCGACAAGGAATATGGAAACTCCTTTCTCTGAGCACTCAGAAAGACCAGATTTTACATGCAGTAAAAAATCTCATGGTGTGCAATGCTCGAATAATGGCTTACACATCGGAACTACAGAAATTAGAAGAGCAGATTGCAAATCAAAGTGGAAGATGGTTAGTAGCACAGTTTATGGCTCCTAATGTACTCTTAATTTGAATTGGAATTGAAAACATGATATAATTTAGTCTTAAGGCCAAGTGTCAAATCATCAAAGCCTTTAAAAAATAAGTATACTGGCCCTGGCCAGGTGGCTCAGTTGGTTCAAGTGCCATCCTGTGCACCAAAAGATTGTGGGTTCAATTCCTGGTCAAGACACATTACTTGGGTTGTAGATTCAATCAATCCTTGGTCGGCGTGTTTACAGGAGACAACTGATAGATGTTCTTAGATATTTCTCTCTCACTCCTTTCCTCACTTTCTAAAATCAATTAAAAAAAACATATCCTCAAATGAGGGTTAAAAAAGAATAAATACACTGAAGTAGCCTCTGAATTCATAAATATTTTTACAGTAGAGCTCTGAGTAAACTTACTGTTAAGGCATCAGTTTTCAGTGGGCAGTTTTATTGTGTTCAGTACTTTCAGATTGTAAAATTAAGTGGTTAAAAAGCAAGAACTGACAGTATTTTAAGAAGAACCAAGACTGATAGTTGAGTATAAAGAAATGTAAATTAAAGGAAAAACTAATTGTTTAAAAGTATGCTAATAAAAAGGTGCTAGCTAAGAGTAATGAAAACTTTGTGTATAAATTGAAATGAGTAGACGGCAAAAGTTAAAAGATATAAAACCTTATAAATGGAAGGGAACTTGAAATCTGCTAGCACATCATCTTCATTAGGTGAACATACTAGTAAGTCTTAGAGAGGCAAATAACTTACTCAAGGACATGTAACTGGCTAGTGACAGAAGCTAATGAGAGGTTATTTAGAATTTGCTAAATAACTTCTGTTTCTTGTTCTCTCTGTCACTCCATGCTGCCCTTTTGGATCTGGTCTAGGATTTGTGTATGAAATTTACATCACATCCTATTTGCAATGCCAAATCTTATTTGGGCCTAAGATTTGACTCAATTTAGTGGCTAGATGTTGATTTATTTTTTAATATAAACTAGAGACCCAGTGCATGAAATGCATGTACAGGGAGGGGGTCCCTCAGCTAGGCCCGCACCCTCTTTCAATCTGGGACCCCCTCGGGGGATGTCCGACTGCAGGATCAGGCCTAAACTGGCAGTCGGACATCCCTCTTGCAATCCGGGACCACTGGCTCCTAACCACTCGCCTGCCTGCCTGATCACCCCTAACCCCTCTGCCTGCCTGCCTGCCTGATCTCCCCTAACTGCTCACCTGCCTGCCTGCGTGATTGCCCCTAACTGCTTGCCTGCCTGTCTGATTGCCCCTAATCACTCACCTGCCTGCCTGATTGCCTCTAACCGCTTGCCTGCCTGATCGCCCCTAACCACTCTGCCTGCCTGCCTGATCACCCCTAACCACTTCTGCCTCAGCCCCCACCACAGTGGCTTCGTCTGGAAGGACATCCAGAATGACATCCTGAGGGTTGTTCGGCTGTCCGGTCTAATTAGCATATTATGCTTTTATTATTATAAATAGTCTTACATCACCCATTTTTTATCATTCTTAAAGCTCCAGCACTGGTAAAAAAATTCTTTTAGACATTAGTTGCCTTTGGGCTATTCATAGTGCCATTAAATTCTTGAAAAGTAAGGTAAAAACACAGGTAAGAGAAAGAGGTTTCGGTAAAAATAAATGTTGATGGGATTGATAAAATACAGCTTGTGTATAAATTAGCTAATATTTGTTAGCTGTATTTTCTTGGGATAGTTATTTAATCTCTTTGTGTCTCATTTTCATTACAGTGGGCATAGTACTGTTTACATTTGAAAATTAAGATTATATATAAAAAACCTATTGTAATACCTTTTACATAATTAAGTACTCAACAAATGTCAAATAATTTTTATTATTATTTATCCCTGGCATTATAAAATGAAATTATCCCAGTATCATAATCTAGGAAAATTTTCAAATAGACATACATTGGTTTAAGTCAGTGCTTCTCAAACTAGGTCACAGGATTATGTGTCAGGAGATATGCAAAGCCATAGAATAAATATGGCATATCTTCTTATAGCATGAATTTTTAAGATAAAGTATGAGAAATTTAGAATTGTGGCATAGTTTGGGTTTATTCTATTCAGGGGGATATATGTTCCTTCTCCCAGCCTTTTTAAGGGTATTTTATCAAGGGGGGCTAGTTCAGTGGAAAAGTTTAAGAAGCACTGGCTTAAGTACAGTGCAGGACTAAAAGTATATCATCTCTCAAAGTTATATGGAATATTCCTCTAGGAATCATACCTGTCCTCCATATTTATGTTCTTTAAATATTTACAGTAGGCCATGGGGGGATATATTCCAAAATCCCCTGTGGATGCCTGAAACTGCGGATAGTACCAAATCCTATTCAACTTCTTCAACTCTGCTGGAAATGTGACAGCAGCTTTTTCACAGCCTCTTCAGTAATTTTATAAATTTTCAGTCCAAAACTGTTCTTGAATCTATATAACCATCCCTATTTACAGTAAATGGCTTTGTGTCACTCGTTTCAGCGGATCCCTTGCTTAAATCCCCCTATTGGCTCAGTGCTCTCTGGCATAAAATGTAGCCATTAATTGGAACACATTTTCTGTTCATTTCTTCTACCCACAAATGTAATGCCTTGTCCATCTTAACTAAGCACTTACCAGGCACTGTATTGTGGCTGTAACTTTTGTGACAGCAAAATTAGCACAAATTTCTTTTTCTTTCTTCATAATTTCATGGCTAGATTTGTTCTTACTGCACATCTTGGTAACCTCAGCATATGATTTTTTTTCTTGCTTATAAAATTGAGAACTTTCACTTTTTCACTAAAAGGAAGCATTTTGCGGCTTCTCTTCACATATTCAGATTGCCAGATCACTACTCTTGTGCTTTGGGACCATTAAGTAAAGTAAAGGTTACTTGAACACAAGCACAGTCAATCTGATAACCCAGATGGCCCCTAAATGATTAACAGACAGGTAGGGTATACAGTGTGAATATGCTGGACAAGGGATGATTAGTATACCAGGTGGGACAGAGCGGGATGGTGTCAGATTTCATCATACTACTAAGAAATGCATGCAGTTTAAAACCTATTCATTTTTATTCTGGAATTTTTCATTTAATATATTTGGACTGCAATTGGCGGTGAGTAACTGAAACCGTGGAAAGGGACACCTCGGATAAGGGAAAACTACTGTAAAATGAATTGTGAGTTTTCCTAATATGGCCGTATGACTTTTCTAATGCTGCTGATTTATAAAAATGTTAAATAAGTTGAATCCCTGTTGGATTTATATATCAAAGATAGAAAAAAATATCTTGGACTCTCTACTGAAGGATGTATATGATTTTCAATTTTTTTACTGATTATCTTTGATAGATGAAAATAGCTTTGATGCTATACACATTTATATTTTTCATCATTCATATAAAAGCCCCCTTAATTGAATTATTTCTATTTAAAAAAAAATCTGAGTGTTCTGTATTAATTCTTTTGTGTATAACTTAACTTTATGTACAGATATAACCTGAGTTCACTGATCAAATATAATTGGAAAGTATAGTGCTTGCCTTCTTACTACATAAAAATGATCTAAAAATTAATGAGCGTGTAATGATAGGCTTTTTTGTTCCTTGAAGAAAATTATGTAAATTATGCCATGTGATTAGTCAGTCAAATATTTACCAAATAGCTACTACTTATAGAACACTTATTAAGTACTGTACTAGTATATCCAAATTCAAAAAAACAGGATTTGTCAAAATATAAGAATATATGAATATTCCACAATCAGATATTTTCTCTTTAAAGACTTAGCAGTCTGTTCCTTAAGTTGGTTTTAATAGTCTGTAAGGTAGAAAAATGCTCTGTTTTTACATTGCTATCAGAATTAAAATAGCATTTTCACGAGTCTTCTAATACTAGTCTAATTTTCTAAAATTGTATGATAAAGTGTAAAAAAAATTATTACAGAATACATCTAGATTTTTTTCAAAGAAGAATCAAATCCGTATGAAATGGTATAATTGAAAAAGTTTAATAGAAGAATTGGATCTGAATCTTCTAGATCATTTGGAGGTTGGATAGAGTTTGGTTAGGTGAGTAGGAGAAATCAGTATTCCAAGAAAGGAAAATAATAAAAAACTGAGGGTGGAAGATGAGCATGAATTATTTAGAGCAATGAAGAGATATGTTTGGTTGAGGCTAAAGATCAAGCCGAAGTTGAAAAGTAAAGGATGGGAGAATAGCAAGATTTAAGAAAATTCGGAATGCTGGGAAGTTCATTGGTATTGACAGCCTTTCTCGGTGCCAGATACTATGCTAAGATGTTCACATATATCACTTTACAAACTGAGAGCAGTATAAACCTCCTTATTAAATAGACACTGGGACTTAGAAATATTAGGTAACTGGTTCACAGGGCACACAGTGACTTTGTGGCCAGGATGTGAACCCAGATGACTTAAAGCCTGAGTACCTCTCAGCTGCCAAAAAAAAGGCCATGTGCTTTGTACAACTCTAAGCTGCCCTAGTGTGTTATTACAGGACTTTACATTTATTTCATTGTTTATTATTCTGTTTTCTGCAGAGATTTCATAAAATGGATGTTTGGAAAGGTTATCTTGCAGTAGGGTATTGAAAAGGATGGTGAGACAAAATAATTGAAATAACCAATTTTTAGGAAAAACATTTAAGAATAGGCACACATAGAAGTGATTAAATAGTATTTGATGACAGAATTCAGGATATCAAAAGTAGTACATGAGGTTTGGGTTTTTCTAATAGATCTTCACTCAGTTCTCTCAATTTATTAAAGTAAGCAAATATTTTACTTCATTTTACAGCCTTTAAAAATATATATATATTTTTACTGATTTCAGAGAGGAAGGGAGAGAGGGAGAGAGAATCATGGATTGGCTGCCTCCTAAACGTCCCCTACCGGGGATTGAGCCTGAAACCCAGGCATGTGCCCTTCACCAGAATTGAACCCGGTACCCTTCAGTTCCCAGGCCAACACTACCCACTGAGCCAAACCAGCCAGGGCTTAGAGCCTTTTTAAGTCAGGGTTCTAGGAAAGAATTAGGCCTTAATGCCCAAAGTCATGGGCTGTATACAGTAACCTAACTTCTGTGTACCTAGAATAGTTGCTAGTTTTGTACCTTTCTTAGGAAAATTGAGAAAATTTTCTTTTGTTTAGATGAGAAGTCAGTTATATAGTCATTTTGTTTGTTTTTTTAGAACATATCTGAGAATATCAGTAGCTGGTCAAATATCCTATTACCATAATGTTCTAATTTTACAATAAAGTTTTGTTCTCATAAATTGTGTGTAGTTATGAAACACTTTTTGGTATACTACCTATTTTTTATGCCTAAATATGCAGAGATACCCAGGTTTGTGTATAATTCACAGTACATTCAGGGTGAGTCAAAAAAGTGGGACATGGAAAGCTTTCTAGGTTGAGTAAACAGTACATCATTAGGGTAAGGATGGAGCACAGTTTACTGCCTCAGTCTAGGTGACAGGATTGTTTAGTTATGGCAGTCTGTCAATTTATTAGTCTTTTGACTGGTAAACTAGGCTGTCCTTACCTTTTCCATGCGTGTTATAGCCAGATATATCCACTTACAAGACTGCTTGTATCAGTCCTCCTCTTAAAAAAAACAGCTAATGGTTTCCTTTTACTAAAATTCCTTAGATAAGCATTGCATTCCATTCCAGGATCTTTATGGTCTGATTTCAAACTACTTTCATAGTCTTATCCCTCAAATTTCTACGTTACAAATTTATTTCAGCCAAATGCTACATCTATATCCCCAAAACAGTCCTTGAATTTTCTTGTTTCCAGTGCCTTTGCTTATACTGAAGTGCCCTGTCTTTCATTTCCACTTAACAAGATCTCTTTTGTTTTGCATCATCAGTTTCCTTGGTGATTCTATTCAAAAGATGATCATTTCTTATTCCTTTGGTGGAGTGGATAATACATACTAACCTTGTACTTGTGTCTCCATCTTTGTTTTAGTCTTTGATCTGCAATTAAATATGTATAATGTTTGCTATCCATCCTTTTGTTGTACTTCCCAAAATCATCTCTTTCTTGGAGGAAGCTCATGAGCTAGCTAGTAGATTCCTCAACATGAGTACAGTTTTCTTCACATTCTTGCATGTTTAAAGTACTTTTCTTTAGTTTTGGTACTCAAAGGTCAGCTCGGCTAGATATAAAATCCTTGGCAATCACTTTCATTCCTTGGGTTTCTTGAAAACCTTGCTCCATGGTTGTCTTGTTATCAACAAATGTGATGACTAATTACTTTTCCTTTGTAAATGACTTAATTTTTCTTTTTTGTACAGAGGCTAAAAATAGATTATCTTAAAGTCTGATAATTTTTCTGGGAAATGTCTAAGGCTGAGTATTTTTGTTCACTTAGGACCCTTTCAGTATAGATAGTTAAGTTCTTTTTTTGTTTGTTTTTTTTGTTAATCTTCATCAGAGGACATTTTTACCATTGAGTTTTAGAGTGTGGAAGGTGGCAGAGAGAGAGAGAAACATAGATTACCTCCCAAATTCGCCCTGACCCCAGTGGGGGGATAGAACCTGCAACCCAGGTACATGTCCTTTACCTGGGAATTGAACACCCAACCCTTCAGTGTTTGGGCCAACACTCTAACCACTGAGGACACTGGCCAGGGTTAGGTAGTTCAATTCTTTTATTTTTAGAAAGTTTTCCTGGAGTTAAAGCCTCTAGAATAAAAGTATTAATTTTATCTCATTATTTTGTTTTTCTTATTTAAGAACTCCAGTTGTACCAAAGTTGGATTTTCTTTGCCTGTCTTTTATGTCTATAACTTTCTCTTTAATGGTTTTAAACTTTTTATAATTTTTTTAAAGTTTCATCTCTTCATCCTTTGTATTTTCATTTCAGAAATGATTTTTTTCCCAACTTTTCACCCCCCCCCACTTCTTTTTACATATTTACTTGTCTGTACTAATCTGTTTTAAATTTGAGATTCCTGATTGCTATAATATTTACAATAGTTTATATAACTGTATTAATTTATTTTGGAGTATAGTGTTATAGGTTTTTGTTGTTTTATTTAAATATTTCAGAGAGGAAGGGAAGGGGAGAGAAAGAAACATCAATGATGAGAGAGAATCATTGATTGGCTGCCTCCTACATGCCCCACACGGGATCAAGACCCCAACCCAGGGATGTGCCCTGCCTGGGAATTGAACCTTGACCTCCTGGTTCATAGGTTGACACTTAACCACTGAGCCATGCCAGCCAAGCTTGTGTTATAGGTTTTGTTACTTATTTTTTTGAAGAGTGGTTGGTGGAATATTTCTATCAGCTGAAGCATTTTAATTCTTTCTGTGGATATTTGGGTCCTTGTGTGTGTGTCCCTAATGAAGTATGTAGGATGCAGGATTTTCCATGACCAAGTGATTAGGGGGAGGAAGGGTAGAGAAGGTCTTACTTGGTTTCTTAGTTCAAGAGCATTTTCTATTTTTTGAACTGTGAAGAGAAATTTCTTTAATAAATGATGCCTTTTGGGAGGTTGGTTGTGTGGTTGGTTTTCTGATTTTATAGTATTTTGTATCTTGGGGTTTTTAACTTCAATTACTTCCCTCTTTTTTTGTCATGACCAAACCTTCAAAGGATACCTCCCCCATTGTGTGTCTCTCTTTGTTAGACTAACAACTTCTGAACCAGAAGCCTTTGGATCTCCTTCCTTTAACTCCCCAGGAACCAGTGTTGTTGTGTTTACCAGGTCTTCTGTCCATTTATTTTTCTTGGGCAGATCACAAGTTGATCCTGTGTTTTGCAATGTGTACCTGACTCTACTTGGGCAAGGCCTTCAGAAGCTGGCTTTGATGGTTGCAGTTGTTAATTTTCCCATTTACATATAAATTACAGATTGTAATGGTCTCAGTTTTCTAGTTTTGCTACACAAGTGGGCTACAGGTAATTTTATTTGCTTTTCTTATTGATCTGAAAGCTTTTGTAGGATGCCTGAAGAGATTCTGATTTAGATGACTACCATTATTTTTCAGGAACTAGAAGTCATACTCTGATCACTTTAACAGATGTTTTAGTTCCACTTTCACATAAACTCCAAGTTAAATACTGAGGCCAAAAATATAAATACTTACAAAGTAATCCTTGTATTTATGTAACATTTTAAAGAATGATATAGAATACAACCCTGGTTGGGTGAGTCGGTTGGAGCATTGTCCCATCCACCAAAAGGTTTTGGGTTCAAATTTCCAGTCAGGGCACATATCTAGGTTTCAGGTTCAATGATCTCTGGTCAGGGCACATAAGGCAGTCACCAGTCGATGTTCCTCTCCCTCCCCTCTTCCTCTCTCTCTAAATCAATAAACATATCCTTGGGTAAGGATTTTAAAAAGAATGACATAGAATACATATAAAATATTATTTCATTTAGTAGTATAAGGTGGGTAGATATTTCCCCCATTTTACAGATGAAGATGCTGAAGGTAAGAGGTTAATAACAACTCATTAATGTAACTAGTTATTGGTGGGTAAAATTCAACCCTGAGACTTTATAGTCTAAATCTACTAAATCTGCCTGCTCCATGAAAATGACCACATCCTATTTAACTTCATTCAATATTTACTAAACATTTATTGAGTGCCTTAGTATGTACTGTATATACTAGGCAGTAGTGGTTCAGCAGTGAACAAAATAGACAAAAAGCCCTATGCTTATAGAGCTTACATTTTAGCATGGCCCCAACCTGCAATCTATCTTTGTTTTAAATACTGAAATACTTTATTTGGCTTTGTAAAAATAATACTAGTCAAAGTCACTTATAGGACCTAATTATGTGTATCATTTAACATTATTGTGATTTTAATAATGCCTCAATAACTAGTTTCTTATAGTTGCTTATATGCTATAACTTAAAAATAAGAAAAAGTATAGGTTGCAAGTGAAAATTGTATACTGCTGGTAGTTCTGCAATGAAACATGGTATATATTAAATACATTACTGGTTTTATTTTTAAAACTTTATATCATTTAGTGTCTGTTGAAAAGCATTTATGTCAAGGTTTGACATAGAAAACTCATCTTCTCAATTTAAGATATTTTGAAGGTATTGATTTTATATCACATAGTTTTAGAATGGTTTAAAATTCCATGTTAAGCATTTCAGTTTTCACTGATTTGCATTGGAGGTGAAGGATATTATAACCTGCTTTCAAATAATAGAATCCCACTTAGAATTCTTTTAATACTTCATTAAGATAATATAAAATACTTTCATCATTGTGCTATTTCTCATCATAGCTTGTTAATTTGGCAAAGAAATGCTATTTTACATTCTTACAATATAGGGTAATACAGTTAGGCAATTTTAATACAGATTTTTGAGCAACAGAGTGGCTGATTGGCACCCTCTGTTGGTCATTTTATTTACCTACAGGCAGTAATATAAAGTTTAAAAGTTTGTCTTTTATATTCTTATCTGTCTTTTAAATTTGCACAAGTCTCAGCAAAATAATACTCTAAACTGAGTTTCTAAGAATAAGGTTCACTATTATTTAGCTATACTTTTGTTTGAATAATTTTGTGGTTATTTGCTTTTTCCTCAGGCTGGCTCTCTAATTATAGCATTTAGAATTGGCATTAACATTGCAGATTTTCCAAACAAGTATTTATTTAACTGTAGCAAGCTATTAGCTACAGTAGCACATTATTAAACAGATAATGTTTAACAATTTCATTGTCAATTTGGATAATTAGAAAATATTACATTTTAGCACCCTAAATAACAGTTTGAGGAGTTATTTGAATTGAAAATAATTCAAGCTTTAAAAAAAATGAGTCTAAATTACTTTAGTTCCTTTCTAATTTTTTTATTACGACAGACTTAATTATTTTGTAAGATTACATAGTTAATTGGATTTACATTATAGTTTGATAATATTTGTACATAATAAGTTTGTTGACTAGTCCTGGTAATACCTATGTAAGTAATTTATAATTATAGGGAAGAAAGCTGTACTATGCCAGGTGGCTGAATAGTTGGGAAGGGAAAATTTTTTTTGGTAAATACTCAACAAGTTTGCTTTTGGTGGTTCTAGTATTTCAGAATATTACTTGCCTGCCAAAGCCTCAAGTTTAATCCAATTTAATAATAGCTAATGGATCTCAACTTGAGCATAATCTATGGCCTATTCCATAAAACTCAAGTTACTTACCATATTAAAACTTCCTTATATTTTTCATTGAAATAAACATTTTAAGAATTTATATTATTCATTGCTTATATAGAAGGTGTTTTCAGAAATATTACTTACAAATGCCAACCAATTATATGTATATTGTATTTCTTTTTCCAATTTGAGAAAATTGAGATTTGTTTTTGGGCCTGTCAGTATATTATTTTCATCAAAATAGTAGACTATTCAATTGAATTTTTCACTCTGTGTTGAAGTAAAAAACAAATTAATATTCTTCAACGTGACAAACTAAATTCAAGTGTAAAATGTAGAACTTGACTCTTTCTTAAATTTGTGATTTAATGAAACATTATTATGAATTAACCAGTGAGTACTTCTATTTTCCACTGAGTGAATTTTCTATCTATCTATCTATCTATAAAAGCCCCGTGACCGTTATGGTGGAACGACCGCAATGACCAGAACGACCCATAGCTATGATGTGCACTGACCACCAGGGGGCAGACACAATGAAGGAGCTGCCCCCTGGGGGTCAGTGCAGAAACCAGGCTCATGGCTGGCGAGCACAGCGGTGGTGGCGGGAGCCTCTCCTGCCTCCGCGGCAGGGCTAAGGAGTGGTGAGCCAAGCAGTAAGGAGCAAGCAGGCAGGTGGTTAGGAGTGAGCAGGAGGGCAGTAAGGAGTGAGCAGGCGGGCAGTTACAAGCGATCAGGCAGGTGGTTAGGAACGAGGGGTCCCAGATTGCTAGAAGGCGCAGGTCGGGCTGAGGGACACCACCCCCCTGCCGTGCATGAATTTCATGCATCGGGCCTCTAGTTTTACTATAAATACTGGTGTGACCATAAAGTAATTAGATAGGATTCTGAGAATGTGTGTCTTTAAGTATACTACATTACTCTAGTTATACCTAATTTGTGACTCTATAAGCACCATGTAAATGTCCCATATAAGCTTATAAACTTAAGTGCATTAGTAAATCATTTTAGCTTATTTGAAGTTTATTTTATCTATAATAAAAAAAGTAGGCTGATATATTTTATTTTCAAATTTGGGCACATGACAATGAATATATGCAATCTTTTTAAACAAGTGTCCTGAATGAAATGCAATGAGATGTTGTCATACTCTTCTGAAAATTAGTTAGATATACTTCAAGCTCCCACCCACACTTTCTCTAAAAGCCCTCTTAGAAAATCAAACAGGCCCTGGCTGGGTAGCTCAGTAGGTTAGAGTGTCATCCTGCTACACCAATGTTGCAGGTTCAGTACATACAAGAATAAACCAGTGAATACATAAATAAGTGGGACAACAAATTTATGTTTCTCTCTCTCTCTCTCTCTCTCTCTCTCTCTCTCTCAAATCAATCTTCTTCCCCCTCCCTCCCTACCTCTCTCCCTCCCTCTGGTCACTCTAAAACCAATAAATTACAAAAACAAAAAAGAAAAAGAAAATTAAACAGTATTCAACTGAAAAGTTTCTATCTTATAAATATTGGAAGTACCTAAGTTAGCCAGCAGTTAATTAGCTAACCAATTTAAATACAGACCAAGAAAAAGTGCAGAGAAGAGTACTCTTGGAAATACTGCTCTAGAAATGGAATGCTAATCTCTAAATGCAGGATATTAGGAAATAGGAATATTAGAGAAATATTTAAGGATGGAATTGATTTGCTCTAATAGGAGATAACTATTTTAAAAGATTGTTTTTTAATGGTAATAGTATATTGTAAAGACAAACCTGGAAGTGTTTTGTTATCCCAAGAATTTCCTTTGAGACTTTTTTCTATTGTCATGATGATATTTTCCTTTCCACATTTTGTTCTCTCTACAGAGCCATCCCTTCCTTTTTCCACCTTAGATTATTTATTATTTTAGTATATGCTTAGTTTTTTGGAATTTCAAAGAAATGAAATAGTATCTTACTGAATATAAATATAGATCAGAGTAATTTTAAAAATTGTTATATTTTTATAAGGATAAGATGCTCCTTGGCAGCAAGTTCATTGGTGGAATGTCATTACCTTTGTCAGGCAACTGTAATCTGGTAAGCTAGAAATATAATTCCTGTAATGGTGACCCAAAGTATTTTACTTTCTGGCACCTGGACAAATCTTATACATATTGTTTATAAATGTCAGTAATCACAAAAGGCTTTCATTGTAGCATAAGCCAGTATATAGTCATCAGGGAAGAAAAAGCTTATGTGAAAAATCAAAGGAAATAGTTCTGTATATTTACCTTAAAGCCAGCTTGCTGTTGACTAAACATCTTAAAATTTAAGTCAGGTAGTTCATATTAACTGGAAGTCATTATTATCCATGGATGCATATTTGCTTTTAATATTTAGACATTTGTGAAAGATTGTTCAAACAACTGCTTATTAGAAAAGATCTTTCTTTCATTAGGTTTTTTCCTTTTGACAGTGATGTGAATTTTGAAAGTAAAGAACGAACAGCATGTAAAGGAAAGCTTGCCATATCAGGTATGCTTTAGATGAGTTTTATATTGTTGAATAAATTCTATAAAGTAACTTTCTAGAGTTGGTGGGATTTTTAATTTCCTGTGTCCATTCTCTTCATTTTATTTTGCATACCTCTATCAGAATATTTGTTCTAAAACATTTTTCACCATTATGCTCTACATTATCGAATTTTACAAACTGTTTCCTATATATTACATATATTATGTAGTTTTCTTCTCAGTGCAGCTTTGTGAAATATGTAGGTAGTTGTCTTTTTCTTTAGACTCAAAGGTTAAATGATTTCCTGTTAGTGGTTAACTTGGCTGCAGACTCAAGTCTTTTGACTCTCCATTCCTTTTCTGCTCAGAAGTTTCAATGTTTTTAATGTTTGTCTAGGCTAGAAGTTCCATGAGGGTTGGCACTATGGTTGCTTTGTTCATCTCTGCATACCCAGAAGCTAACATAGTTTTTGCACATAGTAATTGCTCAGTGAATATTGATTGGATGGATGACTGGTCTTCATTGCCCATAGAATAAAGACCAAATTTTTCTCCCTGAGTTTCTTATTCTGACTCAACTATTTTTCTAGCCGTATTTTCTACTATTCCTGTCCATAAGCTGTCTGCTTTAGCAAGACATATCTCTCCCTATACTGCCTGCATACCCCATGCTTCTGACACTCAGCTCTCGAAATAACGATATTGTCTTCGGGATCTGGTTGCTGATCTGTAAAGTCTTCTCTGTTATTCCAGCTAGAAATGATGTTTCCTCTTGTCTGAATTCCTAATGCAGTTAGGAGACCCTTTACCACTAGATGGCACTTATGCTGTATTGTCTCAGTTTCTCCAAACTGTTAAGGAAGCTAAAGACAATGGCTTGGAGATGCCACAGATTGAAGTGAATACATGGCTGACTCGTGTGTACACTAGTTAGATAATGCACCGTATACAAATACTGGAAACAACAGACTTCCATCAGTCCTTAAGTAATAACTGGGCAAAAGCCTTGTTCACTTAGCTCCAGGGACCTTGCTGCTGCATTTCAGGCCTTCTCACCCAAGGGATTTTTTTTTTTTAGAAATGTTCTATGGATAAACAAAAATTCTCGTATAGGAAGGATAGACCTGAATTTTACAGAGATGTAATTGTCTTAAATCAGAGGAATTGCCTTCAGCAAAAAATTTGTCAGAAAAAAACCGAACTATATAAAAATCTGTTGCTTGTTTTATAGTTATATGTATTCATATTTTCATCTTTCCAATTATAAGACTAGAATAAAACATGTCTTATAGCTCCTGTATCCTTTTGATGCCAAACATAGTACTTTTACATAGGAGTGTTCGCTATATTTAAAAGATTTGAATGTGATAGATAAAATATTTTAGATCTCTAAAGGGGATTTTCTAAAAATACTTAAACATAATCCTTCATTTCTTGCTTCCGATACAGTGCTACTCAGTACACAAATGAGACATATTAAATTGGTTTTGAATACTCAGGTGACATGACAGAGTTAATATCTGTTGTCATTTGATAATGGTTTATTAACTGCAGCAATTCATGAAATTAGCATTAACTGTACATTTAGAAAAATGCCTAAGTAAAAGCATATAATGTAAGAGAAAAACTAGTTTCCTGACCACAAATACTCAAGTGTCAAAATTAAACTTATTTCTTCATGTGTTCCTTTTTTCCAAAAGATAATTTTAAATTAAATTAAGGAACCAAAAGTATCCGAAAATGGGATACATGTGTAATTACTTTTCTTCCTTGCTTAGACTTAATTATATCTCATCTGTATATTTGTAAAAACAAAGAAAATTAAAAACTAATTCACCTTTTTTATAATGTTTCTGAGATTGATTGCCAGGAGATACCTGGGTTTTTCATTTCCAGCTTCACCACTCACTGGGCAGATATTTATAAAAGTAAAAGGAATAATTGAGCTTTATTCTGATTATTTCTGCTAAACATGAATTAATTGCATTGTAGTAAAGTTGTCTGAGCTCACTTACTGGCTACTAATCCAGTGCCTAAAGCCAAATCAGTTCACAAAGTGCCTCAGTTTTTACTTTTGAAAAGTATGGTGGGTAGACTTCTAGGGCCTGGTAAATCAAGTTAGCCATCCTATTATGACTCCTTCATTTTATCATTAAAATGTCAATGAAGACATGAAAAAAAAGACATAGGTTAAGAGCAATGTAAATTAAGATTGAGTCAATCATTTGCAAGAATCAAAAAGGAATTTCTAGCATTTGAACCTGAATTTAGAAACCTAGGTGGTGGCTTATTCATTTTTTGTCATCTGACTATACTTGACCACCTGGGAAATAGATAAGAAGTGTCCATCTTCTCCTCTTGAGGATCTAACATAGCGAGGCATGGGAAAGGGCAAGACTGACCCACAGGCTGTGGCTATATAGCAAAGGAAGTCAGGGTCCATGTTCCTCCCAGGATAGTGTAAATAGTTAATACCACCCTACTAGAATAAGAACAGCTGTGAACAAGAACAGTTGTGAAATGAAATGAGTCAGCAATTGTGGTCAAAAAGAAGCAGGCTCTTTGACAGGACATTAGCCAAGTCAAAATTATAAAACAATAAAGGCAATCCCATTAAAATCAAGAACAAAAGAACAATGTCTATTGTATCAGTATAATTTAACACTTTAGAAATTCTAGCTAAAATGGTAAGAATGAAATATGTAACTACTGAAAAAAGATAGACATATTCAATACTATTTGAAGTTAATAGATTGCAGACCTAGAAAATCTAAGGAAATTTACTGAAATATTATTTGAATTAATAAAGAATTCAGTAAAAATGGCTAATTCAAGATAAATATGCAAAAAGTGGTATAGCTGCTCTCAAAACCAGCAATACCTTGTTAGGAAATATGATGGCAAAAAAAAAAATATCTCCTTTACAATAAAAACACAAAAAAACATCGACTACCCTCAAGAATAACCTTAATAAAAATGTGAGGGTAACTGTACAGTGTTACTCTGTAAAGACAGAATATTATAACGTTATCAGTTCCCAAATTAATTTGGAGGGTAGAATTGTAGTAAAACATTTTTGAGGGGGAAATTTGACAAAATATTCTAAAATTCATACAAAGGAATTAGCAAATAAGAGTGAGATGTTGCTTGAAGATTTATTTGTAACAGCAAAGTATATTATAAAGGTTCAGTGATTATAATAGTATGGTACTGATAGTAGGTTTGTCATTAATAAACTATTCAAGTAGATCCATAAAGTATATAGCCAAGGAACAGACACTTAGAATGACATATGATAAAGATAGCATCATTAAATCAGTAAAGAAAAGAATATTATTAGATATAAATGGAGGTACAACAATTATTTTTATAAGAAGGATAATTATTTTTACATTTTTACTTCACATACTTAAATTCTCACATAGATTTAATAATTAACTTTTAAAAAGTACATACTATAAATAATGTTAAAAAAGAGAGAGAGAGAAATGGGCCACAGTTACAAACAGATTCACTGAGCTGGCCAATAAAATTTATTAACATTTTTCTTGTTAATCAAGAAAATACAAATCTAAGCAATTAAATCCTATCACTTGACTATTAAATTGGTAAACATTTAAAAATTATTATTCAGTGAGGTGCATGTAAAGTGTTCAGCTTGACACATAAAGAGAGCTCAATTAGTAATATTTTTATGAAAACTGCTAGGGCAGCAATGGGAAGGGCACTCATACATACCTGCCTGGTTAGGTAGGTTAAGGATAAAGGAGTTACATAAAACTTTTATAGAAAGAAAATTAGAAATAGGCATTAAGAACCTTAAAAATTGAATTCTAAGCAAATAAAAATCTAAGGAAAGGATAATGGAATCTAAAAGTGAAGCACAAGCCAAACAGCTTATTTCATAAAGATTTTTAATTATTTGAAAGTGGCATAATTAATAGGTATTAAAATATGCACATAAACTTCTTAAATGTACTAGGGAAGTGTCTTAAACAAGTTTTCCATAAAGACTTGAGGTATTTATATAGTTTTTGTACTCTGAGTAATTAAAACTAACTACACTTTACCATTGAGATCTCAACTGTACTACATAACACTGTAGTTCACACATCTTAATCTACTTGATAGAACCTTAACCTCTTTGAAAATATAGAAGCGCATAGGAATGTCAGAAAAAATGATACTACTATTAATCTAGTATTGGAAGTAAAGGGAAGAATGGAGGGAACTAGGAAGGAAAAAAATTGACTACATCACAGTTCTAGATTAACTTCTAGAATAAAGATCAGTAACACAATTACTTTAGAGTTTGAAGTGAATGAAAGAATGTATGTTTAGATCACTTTTAGAACATAAGACTTTTTTCTTGAACTGAAAGAAGTAATGCATTCCTCTCTTTAGTTTTATTTCTTGAGAGAAATGCTGCAGTTTGTAACATGAATATACAAAGACCTGCAAATTCTTTTGTAGACAAGTTAAATCTTAATGGAGAGTTTGGATCCGTTTGTCAAGAGCTGGGTCTCCCATTGAAAACCAATGACCTTAGACAAGTCACCAAATTTTCCTTATCTTTAAAGTTTGCATAGTGGGTAAAGTTCTGAAGTCTTTTCTGCCTCTACTATGCTATACATTTTGAGGTGTATCTCACTACTTTTGCTGCTACCCCCAGTAGAAATTCAACACTAGCCTGAATTTACAATTAGTAAACTATAATTCGCTTACTTCAAAAAACCATAAATCTCAGAATGAAAATGTTACAGCATAAGCTTATTATAGACCTCACTTAATAAATTTATATGAGTTACAGTTTTTAGTAAATTATGTAAATACATACAACATTTTATATATCTAATCTAAGCTGTTTCTTAAAAAAAATATTACCTGTGTTAGAATATTTAAATTACAAATTTTAATGGCTTCAATGGTCAGAATCCATTATGGAATTCACAGGTTCATTTCACTCTAAGAAATTTACCAAAATAATTACCTGTCATTTATTTTTCCCCTCTTTATAGATATTCGAATACCACTAATGTGGAAAGACTCTGATCACTTCAGCAATAAAGAACGTATGTATAATTTAAATTTGTAATTAAAAATTATTTTTAGTGTATAGAAAAATTTATGTGATTGGGAGAAAAGGCTGCTTCCACACTGAAATAAATTGATGACATTTGACAGAGCAGGCAAAATGTTGCTGAACTGTGTATTTTGGAATTTTAGTATAAACATGCTGTAATTACTTGGTACTAATTAAAATAATGCAGATCTAATGTACTTTTAGTTGTTGATAGGAGCCTGTGCAAAGACAGTATGTAATCAGTTGTAAGGAAAGGGAAGTGTGGAACAAAAGAAAATGTTTAAGGAGTGAAGGTAAAGGCAACATTTCTTGTATTTCACCAGAAACTAGGACATGTTTTCTGCCTTGTTTTGTTCTTCAGATTATTTAACAGGATGTAAGAGAGAAAGATTTTTAGCTTGATCTGATTTTCTTTTTTCCCCTTCAGCATTTTACAGCTTTATATAGTCTTCACAAATTCATGTGATGCTGAGGTCATGGAAATTAACCTCAAATGATTTCTAGCTATTAGAGGCAAAGCAAAAAAGATATGATAATCCTTTATCTTTCTTGTCTATTGTGATAGCTTTCTTTGTTTCTCATATTTTAAAAACTGAACCATATTGAGTATAATTAGTTTTATATGAAGAATCCAAAATCAGGTTAGTATATTTGTTATTCAATTAGGAAATGTAATTTACTTTCCAAAAGAATACATGTGGGGATTAAGTACATCTTTCTGATTACTACAGAAAATAAGTTTTTCTGAAGAGCTACATTTTCTCAATAATGAGGACTAAGCCCTTTAATCACCTAATACTTTTTAAAAACATCACCAAATTAAAAGGCCTAGCAGCAATGTTTTTTGTGTTCACATGTCTACTTTTTATTGTTTTTGTGGTTTCCTCCCTTGCTGTTTGGTGGAAAATGTTTTGCTGTTGTTAACGTGCCTGCTCTTAACCCTCTATAATAGAAAACATTTTTTTTAAATAGAGTTGGAAACCCAAATGACAAAGGTAATAATAACATATACATAATAATAAAGTTGCTATTAATTAAAGCTTAAATGGTTTTCCAGGGATAAAATTTATGAGTTTGGTGATTGTTTTAGGCTGTCAAGAGGCTTATATTTTTAACTTTATTTTTTACATTCCGTAGTTTAATTGTTTTAATTGAATAAAATATTAATATATACTGACAGAACAGTCACTATAAAAAAGTTAAGGATTACAATATACAGAAATAAGAATCTATTAACAAATATTTAAGCTAATATTTTTTGTTTTCAAGTAGGTTTGAACATAATATAGGCATGATTTGTCACATGGATCATGGCTTTAAATGGTTTTGTTTTTTCTGTCTAGAATCACAACGCTATGCCATTTTTTGTTTATTCAAAATGGGAGCTGAAGTTTTTGATACTGACATGGTAATTGTCGATAAAACAATCACAGATATATGTTTTGAAAATGTAACCATATTGTAAGTACTTTTTTATCTTTGGAGAATAAAAGTAATCTAAAATTCTGCTTTTTTTAAAGGAGGGTATAATATTGGGTCTTTGGGTTATTTTTGTAGCATTAGATCTTTAAATGTTTAAATTTATTTTAAAAATTACTTTATTCAAAAGAAGCCCATTTCTGCATTTGAAATTTTCCAATTTAAAATAAAATGGAAATCATGTAATATTAGTAGAAATATTTTGACATTGGATATTATTAATTTTTATTAATTTTTACAAATGTTTATAGTTTAATTATTAACTAAGTTATGAATACAAGGGAATCTCATAACAATTCTTTATTTAAAATGAATTTGGGCATAAAACAGGTTCTTATGTCTCATATAGGAGATTTAGTTATAAAAATACTAAAATAGTATTACAATTTTCTTTATGAGATGGTCCTGAAATATGTACCAGAGGAAAAGCACTTTAGTAAAATTTGAGATGTTCTTTTTCTTATGGTGGACTTCTTTCATGTACTCCAAAACAGTAAAAAATGGGTGATCCTCAGGGCTGTTTTTATTGCTTCTGCTCTTTTATAGGCTCATTTTATTGTGGTCATAATACAGCACCAGGAAGAACTCCTTAGGTAGCCATAGATACCATTTTTAACTAACATAAGTCTTTCCTGGGCCCTTTCTGAGGTTCTGTGGGCCTAAATCAGCATGTGATTTGTATTTCTCTCAGGGTTTCAAAGATACTATCTTAATATGTAAATATTAGTAGCTATTTAACTCTTAAAATAAAATCAGTATACATAGCTTTTGCCACTTTCAGCTATGGAGGTATACAGTTGAGATTTGAGAGTACAAGTTTTGCCACTCACATAACATAACATAAAAAAAAACCCACTATTGCAAACCATGTTTTGTGGCTTCTGTCCAGTGTCCCATAATTGTGTAGCACAGAAGAATAAAATGCATTGTTCTGAGTTATTAGCAGCAGCACAGGCTTTTTTACAAGCTTTATTGAACCAAACAATTTATTTAGGATCTCCAAAATATCACCAAGTGCTTTCATAATTGAGACTAAAAAAATAATTTTTCTTAGTTACCTAAATACATTTATTTCCATGATCAATTATTGCATTTTTTTCTGTCAAGGTCATCCTGTTATGGGCTCTTTTCTTCACATCACTTTGCTATTGTTTGTTTTACCACAAAGACAAAAATCGTATTTTTTTTTCTGGGAAAGAACAATCTAAGTTACTTGGGAAGACAACATATGATTTATACTTTTTAAAAAATTCTGTAAATATTTTAAATTGTTCTAAAAATAATAGCAGTCAAATGTTCTAAATGTTGTTTAAAAATGTGCTTTTTGTTATGATTGTTTTTAATAAGTGTTCAATATTTATGAATCTCTGGTTTTCCTCTAAATATTGACATTTGTTAGTCATTACCAGGAATACTGTATGTTTAACAGTTGCCAAATAATAAACTTTAAAAATATCTGGAAATTATTCTTTGGATTTATGCAAACTCTAAATTGGCCATTTAAATCTTAAAAAGGCTGCATTTTAAAAATCTCTGAGGCTGATGGATCATCTACAGGCAACATGTACTTGATGGACCTCTTTTGCAATTTTAAGCATGTTTTATTGTTAGTACCACCTCAGTCTTTTATGGGAAAGGTAGTTGATTGTGTCTGACAAAGGGCAAAGCCAATCTGAGTGTTTGCTAAAATTGCAGAATTTCTGCATATTGGTATAATAAATATTTGAGTACCTTTTATGCTAGGTTAAGAATACAGAAATTAAAACAGCACTTGCCCTCAAGGAATTTATGCCTTGAGTCTATCTCTTTACATCATTTTTTGTTTGTTTTCCCCTATATAATCAAATATTGAAATAGTATTTTAGAGTTATTAGGCACAAAGACAGAATGAGTTTCAGCTGGGAGGTAGCAGCATGTGGTGAGTGACTGTACTGTGAAAAAAGAAATGAAAACTAAAGTTTTTTAGCAGAAGAAACCTTTGTTTCTCCTTTTTTGTTTTCAAACATTTTTTCTTCTGGGGGAATAGTCATTTCAGGAAATCACATGTATAATGTAAATACCTTAAAAATAGCTGTTAAAAGGAATGATAAGAAGAGATAGCATTGGCAACAAAATGACCAGAACATTTTATTCTTTTTCTTTAAGTAATATGTATGGACATACCGGTTAAATTGAGTTAAGGTTGACCTATTTTAGAAGCTGGTAGCTCTAGAAGTTTCAGTGACTCTTTCAGGTCATTTAGATACTAAATATACACTGGGAGATTCTGAATCATTAACATATATGAACATAAACCTATATGCTGATTTTAAATGTATCAAAGGATGTTATAATTTTATTTTCTGAGTTAAATTCCTAACATGTATACTATTGTTTTTAGTAATGAAGCAAGGCCAGACTTTCAGATAAAGGTGGAAGTATATAGTTGCTGTACAGAAGAATCTTCTATAACTAACACACCCAAAAAATTAGCTAAGAAACTGAAGACATCTATAAGTAAAGCTACAGGGAAGAAAATGCATTCAGTGCTTCAAGAAGATCATGAAACGTGTTTGTCCTTCGGTTCTGCTATTTCGTAAGTTTCTAATACAATATTTATAGTGACATAGTATATTTATATATTAGTGACATTTTAAAGTATTGTGTGTGGAGTGTATGTTTACATTTTAAATGGGAAAAACATCCTGAAGCAGAACAAAATTTAGCTGTCAGACATATACCCCACTGAGATAGCATTAATATCTTACTTTGAAAGTAGGAATTTGGGTGACAGTGTATTTTTAGTGATTTGGAATTCCAGTATCTACCAGAAAGATAAAATGTTTTTCTTTAAAAAAAAAAACACATATATTTTTATTGCCCTAGCCAGTTTTGCTCAGTGGATAGAGCATCAGCCCACAGACTGAAGGGTCCCAGGTTTGATTCCAGACAAGGACAGATGTACCTTAGTTGCAGGCTCCATCCCGGGTCCTGGTCGGGCATGTGGGAGGCAACCAATCTGTGTGTCTCTCTCACATCAATGTTTCTCTCTGTCTCTCCCCTTCCCTTCCACTCTCTCTAAAAATCAATGGAAAAATATCCTTGGGTGAGGATTAACAAAAACAAACATTTTTTATATGTACTAGTATTAGGGGCCCAGTGCACCTTTAAAAGGAATTGTGGGCTGCGAGGCTATGGTGGGCACAGGGGAGGGTCTCGGCCCATCCTCCGTGCCCCCACCAGCTCCTCCAGCTGCGGCCCCCCTTACTCCCATCCCCTGTCTGCTGGCAGCCCCATTCCCCCTACCGCTGCTCCCATGTGCTGACAGCGCTGGCCCCGCTCTCACCCATTGACGGTGCAGAGCAATTGGGGCCGGTGCCAGCAGCGGGTACAAGCGGGGCCGGCACTGTCAGCAGGTGCAAGCGGTGGCTGCTGCCCCGATTGCCCCTCAGGAGCAGGGGGAGGTGGAGAAGCCCTGAGGGGCGATCGGGTGCCAGCAGCAGGTGTGAGCAGGGCCAGCGCCAGCAGCAGGTGCAAGCGCCTGGCGGGACTGCGGCATGCGGGAGCAAAGAATTTTCAGTAACCACCAGGGGCTCGCCCCTATGACAGTGACTGGTGCCCTGCCTTGGTCTGGTGCCCCTGCTCACCTGCTCCACCATCCCGCCGTGGCTGGTACCCGCCATGTTCCGCACTCTGCCGCCTGCTTCCGATGCCCACCATGTTCTGCATGCGCCCCCGGTGGTCAGCGCATGACATAGTGACCAGTTGTTCGGTTATTCTGTCATTTGGTCTATTTGCATAGTAGGGTTTTATATATATACATTTAATTGATTTTTAGAAGAAAGCAAAAGAAAGGAGAGAGAAACATCATGGGTGGCCGCCTGCATAGCCCCTGTCAGGGATGGAGCCAGCAACCTTTTGGTGCCCCAACCAAGTGAGCCACACCAGCAGCCAGGGCTGAAATGTTTTTCTTGAAAACGGACTATACGTCAAAGTATTTGTTACATATCAGTCTGCTAATTAGTTTTTTATGTCATGCTTTATTCTTAGAGATTTTAAAAAATATATTATCTTTATCACAAAGCCACATTACCATTATCACACTTAACAAAATAAAACATAAGTCCTTAATGCCATCTGATATCTAGTCTGTATTCAAATTGCCGCAATTCTATGAAAGTCCTTTTATGATTTGTTTGTGCAAATCAGAATCCTAACAAAGTTTATAATGCTGCATTACAGTGAGTCTTTTAAGTTTCTTTTAATCTTTAACAATTTCCCACCTATTTTTTTCTTGCTATTATTTATTGAAGAAACCAGATCTTATAGAATTTCCCATATTTTGAATTTAGTTAATTACACATTTGTGGATTTTTTTAAAACATCTTTTTCTATCCCCTGCATTTCCTACAACTAGTAAGTAGTAGATCTAGAGAACTGATTAGGTTTGGGTTCTCTTTTAGGGCAATAATACTTCATATTGATTATATGTACTTCCTACTATCTCCCATTAGAAAGCCTTGTCCCACTTTTAGTCATGTTAAAATTGATCAGTGGGTTCAGATGTTGCCAGCCTGATTTATCTATTATAAAGTTCCCTATCAATCTTTTATCTAATAGTTTTAGCAGCCATTATTGATCATTCATTATTTCACTAGGGATTATAATTTGGTGCCTTTCTACATTTGTCCTACTTTTTTTTTTAACCTGGAATTCTTTCAAAGAACTTCCCTTCATGAACTCTCTGGATGTAAATGCAAAAAACTGATGAAGGAAAGGCAGGAAAAATACTTGTTTCTTTTATTTACCTAATTTTAGAATAGTAAGTTGATATGGAGGTGATCAATGTTATCTTTTATTTGAACTCTTGAATTTTCATATATTTGTGTGTCAGTCTATTATAGGAATTACTCTCTTTGAAGCCTAATTGTCCCATATGTGATCTATGGGAAGCTTTTAAGCTGATTTCTGCATCGTTTTGACCCAACCTAATTTCTAATAGCTTCTTTGCTTTATGACACAAGATGTTCCACGTTCATCTTGTATTTTTCTGCCCAGACCTGGAATTACCATTTCTTCAAGGAGCCCTGGTTTCTTTCAGATACTTTCTTTAAACATTGTGTTTGTTGCTTCACAAATCACTTTGTGTTTATGTTTCTTGGGAAAACTGTTGATCGGGCTACATTCCTAGAATTTCTTTGCATGTTTTAGTAGAGTTGGCTCTTCAGCATGCCAATAATTTTACTATAATTACAAAAAAAAAACCCAAATATTTTAAGTATAGATCCTGTAAATATCAATCATCAGAATGTAATTAAATAACTTTTCATGTCAGCTATATTTCATGTGAAAAATGCCTTGGGACTCTATCTAGTATTGTGGCTTTCAGTCAATTTTGTTTGAGACCCATGGTAAGAACTACATTTTACATTATGACTGAGTACATACACAGCTACATAAGCAGATTTCATGAAGCAATACTTATAAATGCTATTTATATTATATATTA